CCAACAACAGACCCACACACACTACAACCCAACAACAGGCCAGATGCTGACTGCTGAGATATTTCCTCTCTGGGTCTCTTCAGAAAAGCGCCTGCAACTTCCATTCAAAAGATGGGGCACAGCCGGGTGGTGGTGGCACACACCTTTAATCCCAGCTGAGGCAGGTGGCTCTCTGAGTTTGAGTAGCACAGGCCTCTTCAACATCTTGTGGCAACAGTGGTGTCTTGAGGCAGGTGGCTCTCTGAGTTTGAATAACACAGGCCTCTTCAACATCTTGTGGCAACAGTGGTGTCTTAGCGCACACGAGGCAGGGTTGGAATTTGGAAAGCCGTTATTGCTAATTTTAGACATGCTAGTCTTAAAGAGGGATAGCCACAAAGATGAGTTGCGTCACCAGAGAAAGTTTTCTTGTTTATTCTTATTCTTCTTGGAAATGTCTATAACAGTACAGCAGACGCAAATTCCCAAGACAACGGACGTTATTAGGTTAGATGTCATCAGTTTATTATAAAAGGGGGACACGGATATTATTTCCATGATGAAACAGTTTGGAATGTTGGGACAGGCAGCTTCACGTGACACCATTTCAACAGTGATTCAGCCCATACACTTTCCAAGAATGTCACCATCTCGAAGTAAAATAATAATAATAATAATAATAATCCTGTCGTTTACAGCTTTGGTGAGAAGAACTCTGTGTCTGACTTTCTCACTAACTAACGTTGGCTCTCTCCAGCCTTTCCTTGGGACCTGATCTCATGGTTACTGGTTATTACTGTTGTTTGCAATAGTTTTCCTTGAGCTTTTTCTGGCACCACGACATCACCTTTGTTTACAGTCTTGGCTTCACTCCTCTCAGCCAGTGTTTCGTCAGAGTGGAGGAAACTCTCTCAAAGCCTGACCTGTGGGCTCTCCCGAGGACACAGCTCGAACTCTGGGTTCACACCACTGCTGCAAGGAGTCTCTTAGTCTCAAAACAAAACAAAACAAAACAAACCCTCCAAGTGTTTTGCATTCATGTATGTGTGTGTACTGAGTACATGTCTGGTGCCTGTGGAGGGTGATGTATCCCCTGGAACTGGAGTTACAGTTGCGAACCACCATGTGGGTGCTGGGTACTAAACCCAGGTCCTTTACAACAGCAACAAGAGCTCTTAACTACCAAGCTGACTCTTCAGTCCCCACCAGAGAAATTTTAGCGGTGCCAGACGCTAGACTAACACTTCCCTCCTGTCCTGCGTGGCTCTCTGAATCACCATGCCCAATTTTCAATTGAGCCATCGATTCTTGAGTTGTAACATTCTTGGTTTTGTTTTTCTAGACAGGGTTTTACTGCATAGCCCTGGCTATCCTGAAACTTGCTCTGTAGACCAGGCTGGCCCTCAAAGAGATCTGCCTGTAGCCACTGCATTCTGAGTACTGGTATTAAAGGCATGCACCACGACTACCTGGCTCCTTGGGATTTTCTTGATAGATCACTCACTGCCTTAGGGTTTCTACTGCTGTGACAAAAACACTATGGCCAAAAAAGCAAGTTGAGGAGGAAAGAGTTAATTCAGCTTATGCTTTGAGATCATAGTCCTTCACTGGAGGAAGTCAGGACAGGAACTCAAGCAGGGCTGGAACCTGGAGGAAGGAGCTGATGCAGAGGCAATGGAGGGGTGCTGCTTACTGGCTTGTCCCCCATGACTTGCTCAGCCTGCTTTCTTATAGATTCCAGGACCACCAGCCCAGGGATGGAATCATCCTCTATGAGCTGGGCCCTCCCCAACTGATCACTAATTGAGAAAATGCCTTACAGCTGGATCTCCTGGAGGGATTTCCTCAACTGAGGCTCCTTCCTCTCTTGACGACTCTAGCTTGTGTCAAGCTGACACACACAACCAGCCAGCACAACCATGCCATCTGCACATAGGATCATCTTTCTTCTTCCCTTTCTAGCCTAGTTGGCTTTCACTCACTTTTTTGCCTGACTGTCCTGGCTAGAACCTCCAGCACGAATAGATGCGTCAAGAGCAAACATACTACCTCACTGGGTCCTTGCCCTGGGCTGCTGTAACCAAGTAACACATATTGGGTGTCTAAACAGCAGATACTTATTTTCTTACAGTTCTGGAGGCTAGACAGAGTTCAGGAAGTGAGCAGTGTTAAGTTTCTTCTGAGGCTTTTTTCTGAGGTGCTCTCCCTGTGTTCTTCCATGTCTTCTGTGTCTGAACACCCTTTTTATAAAGTCATGAGCCTTACTGGATTAGGGCCTACCCTTTTATTAATTCGATTAACCTCATTTAAAGACACTGTCTCAAGGTACAGTCACATCGTGAGCTACTGGAGTTCGGGCTTGAACTAAGGGAACATAATTCAGCTCCCGAGAGAGCATGGCAAGTTGTCTCTTTGTGATTAACCACCGTGCACTCCTTGACAAGGGGCTCACTTAGTCTTTCACGTGTGACTGGATTTGGTTTGCTGGAATTTCACTGTCTTTAATCCTACCATCCAAAGGTGTTCCATTCAGTTTCAACAGACTTTCACATGGTAGGTAGTATATTCAAATCCACTGTGGGAAACAGAAACTTGTTAAACATCTGTAGCGGTACAGAGCATAAGCTGCAATTGGAATCATGTCAGTGATTTCTGTGTTCAGAATTTAAGAAACAGGTAGCAGAATGGATTTGGCTCAGGAGTTGGTTGTAGGCTGCCAACTCCTGCCCTCCACAAAACTGTTTCTGGAAGTGAGAAGTTAATTTGCCCATAGTTTCGGCTCTTTGCTTTGACACCAGCTGCAATAGCTTAATTCTAAATATAAACAGCCTGAAGAAAGACTACTGTGGCCGGGCAGTGGTGGCGCATGCCTTTAATCCCAGCACTCGGGAGGCAGAGGCAGGCGGAATTCTGAGTTCGAGGCCAGCCTGGTCTACAGAGTGAGTTCCAGGACAGCCAGGGCTGCACAAAGAAGCCCTGTCTCGAAAAACCAAAAAAAAAAAAAAAAAAGACTCCTGTGAAGATGACGGCACACCAGTGACTTAAGAACTGAGAACACTAGCTGACACACTGAATAAGAATAAATAGGTCCAGTCAGGCCTGGTAATGTACACCCTTTATTCCTGTACTCGAGTAGCAGAGGCAGGGAAATTCTGAGTTCAAGGTCAGCTTGGTCTACAAAGTGAGTTCCAAGACAGGCAGTCTCAAATCTCAGATAGATAGATAGATAGATAGATAGATAGATAGATAGATAGATAGATAGATAGGTAGGTAGGTAGGTAGATAGATAGATAGATAGATAGATAGATAGGTAGGTAGGTAGGTAGATAGATAGATAGATAGATAGATAGATAGATAGATAGATAGGTAGATCCAGCTCTGATAAGCCCATGACCTGAGTTCAATCCCCAGGACCCACATGGTAGAACCAGAGAACCAATTTCTCCAAGTTATCGTCTGACTCAAACACATCTCACTTCACATACTTGCATGCAAAAAGACTAAAAGTTACTTTTTTTTCAAAGATTTATTTATTTATTATATATGAATATACTGTAGCTGTCTTCAGACACACCAGAAGAGGGCATCAGATCTCATTACAGATGGTTGTGAGCCACCATGTGGTTGCTGGGATTTGAACTCAGGACCTCTGGAAGTGCAGTCAGTGCTCTTAACCACTGAGCCATCTCTCCAGCCCCCTAAAAGTTACTTTTTTAAAAAGAGTTGTGGTTTCAATTTATGCATTCAATTAAACCTAGCAATTGTTAGCAGGGCTAACAATTCTCATTTTGAGAACTTTATTTGAACAGATGAACTAAAAGGAGAATAAATTGGGGTGGCAGGATTTGTGCCAGTTACAGTAAATCCAGCTTACAGACCCTTTCCTCAAAAGCTTATAGACACTTTCTTGGAAAGTGAACTTTCAGGTGATTTCCAGTTCTCCCAGAAACCATGTGTATCATACTTGAATGTTCGTGCCCACTCTGGCAGGGAAGGAATTCAAATTCCACTTCTAGCCCTGACAGATTATATGACTTCAAAAGTTTAATTTTTTTTCAGGGCTTAATTTCACCATCAGATATGAACTGGATTAAATACTCCCTAAATTCCCCTTCATGTGCAACAGTGTTCTAGTGGTGAAGAGAGATTCAGTTGACTGGAAAATCTCAAACCATGATTCACCAAGGAATCATGAAGGTGCAATAAAGTCTGGCTGAAGATAGAGAACAGATAACCTGGCACAGCCAGCCAAGGGCAAAAAACTCAGTGGGTGGAGGCCTCCTTAGAGCTGGGAATTTGCAAGCAGTGTGTCATGTAAGGTTGCTATCTAGAATGCCAATGAACATCTTATATTTTTAAGAATTAAATAATTTAAAGTAACTAAAGCCAATAAAAAAGCCAGATGAGAAAGTCCAGCAGAAGACCTGAATCCAGACTCTGTCCCAGGAGCCGGCTCAGTGGGGACAGCTGCTGGCTGTGCAGTCCTGATGATCTGGGTCCGAGCCCACACAAAGCTCGACATGGTGGTATGTCTACAATCTCCCACGGGGGATGGGAGGCATTAGAATCATGTGGAGGAAGCTCACAGGCCTGCTGACCTGGAGTGTGCAACACAGCAGCAGAAATAAGATTCTGCCTCAACAGGGCGGAATGTTCTCCTGTGGCCATGAGAGCTGTGGTATGAATGTGATGTCTTCACACACCCAGACACATGGTGGTGCAAGCCTGTCATCCCAGGATTTGGGTGACAGAGGTAGGCACATACCCTCATATGTAGGCAAGGGTCTGGGTCTTCAGTCTCTCATACACACACTGCCAGGCCATTTCTGTAGAACATGATCTGGGTGTCAGGGAGAAGTGCTCCCATGAGCCCCCACCCCGACTGAGAATATACAGACAGATGTCGGCTTCTGGGGGGGGCCAGGGAGGGGTGCCAATTCTCTTTAAGGCAGGTCAGCGAGGATCTGGGAGGAGCTCAGGGGAGGGGAGCGGTGAATACGATCAAAACACACTGCAAAAAATTCTCAAAGAATAGCAAATATTTATTTGAAAACACAAGGTGGTAAAGTGATTGGAGAAGTCACAAGAGGCAGACACAGGAGCAGTAAACGACATTTATTAAATACTTCCTAGACACATCATATACAAAAGAGGTAGACGGGGTGGATGTGGACCTGAAGAACTCAACACACAGACTAATCACTAATTCTAATCAGTAGAGAAGTACAAACCTGCACAAGTTAGACTTTATAAAAGAATTTTTAAGCCTGCTCGAAAGAAAATAAACTACACATACAGTTCAACTTAAAAACAAAACAAATACTTTAAAAGTTGTGCTTAACATCACGGAATGCTGTCCAGCATCAAGTCTCAGAGCACAGATGTCCCCAGGGAAGACAGCTCGAGGACCTGGAGCCCTCACTGAGAAAGCCATGGCCATGGCCGGTGACCACACTCGCAGCTCCTCCCAGGGACAGCAAGCATCTGCCTCAGGTCCCTCCTGCAGTGCCCACTGCTCTGCGGCTGATTTAGTACCAGCCGCTCATATGTCTTTTGTCTGATCGTCTTCTTCAAGCTTTCTGATTTCATTTTTTAAACAATTTATAGTCTCACGACTCGCTTTCAATCTCTCCTTAAGCTCTGCAATCTCAAAGCTTGTTTTTTTCTTGGCAGCTTCTAGTTTTTCTCTGGTTTTCACTTCAAGTTCTGCAACTAAAGAAGACAGTTGAGCTGAGTGACCCTATCCACTTATGTTAAGGGACACCACAGAGGAGAAACAGCACTTCCTAAGGCCGCTGCCCCTGCATGAAACACAGACAATCTGAGAGACAGACACTCAACATGGTGGGTCGGGGGAGGAAGTCTAAACTCCAACAGAGGGGCCATGCTGTTTTCTATAAGATGAGACCGCAGCTACTAGCTCACGGTTGAGGCTTTGAGACATTATTTGGTTTTCTCTACATGCATATTACTTTGGAATAAGCGGCATACAAACCCAAGAAATGCTAGTGAACCAATCAACAGTATTCTGAACTAATGCACAGGTGTGATTATGTCACACAATCATTCCACCAAAACAAGCTTCTAGCTTCTTCTTTTCCAAAGAGGAAACTGCCTAAGTCTGAGGTCTGGCTCCTCCAGCCGTGACACGGTCAGCTCATGTCTGCACATACACACTGCCTCGCTCACGACATGACAGAGACCTCACGCCATTTGTTGAGAGACTGTGTGTGTGTGGTGCACGCATGTGCATGTGTGCACATGTGACCATGTGTGTGGAGGCAGAAATGTAGCACCCTTTGCCTTCCTCCATCCCTCTCCACCTTACTGTTCTGAGACCGGGTCTCACTGAACCCAGAGCTCAGTGACTGGGCGAGATCGGCTGCCAGCAGCCCCGCCCATCTTCCCATCTCTGCATCGCCGGCTCCTGGACTGCAGGCACGTGCCACCCTCTCCAGCTTTTTACAGAGGTGTTGGGGATCCAAGCTCAGGTTCCTGTGCATACAACCAGGCCACCTGCCCAGCTCCATTCAGAAGACTTAAAAGGAACCGATGTGTACAAAGTACCTAGAATACCGTGTGATATATAAAACTATCATTTATAGTGACAAAAGAATGTTATTATTTGAAAATTTCTAGGGGTTGGTGATGTAGCTTTCAGTAGAGAATGCCTATGTGAGGTCCTGGATTCAATCCCCAACAATACCAAAGCAATAATAAAAACAAAATCTTTAGCTGGATACAGTAAACATTACTGAATAAATGTATTAACTACAAAATAAGATGTATTTACTTAATTATAAGCTGGCTAGCATGGTATTGTTTTGACAAGCAATCCTGCTTGCAGCCAACATCGCCACCTTGTGGATGCCTTAGGTAACTACCGTTCACAAAGCATAGCCGGTCACAGTCAGTACAGTGAAATAACATAACCATGAAACCAATTGAAAACACATCCGCCGGGCGGTGGTGGCAGCGCACGCCTTTAATCCCAGCACTTGGGAGGCAGAGGCAGGCGGATTTCTGAGTTCGAGGCCAGCCTGGTCTACACAGCCAGGGCTACACAGAGAAACCCTGTCTCGAAAAACCAAAAAAAAAAAAAAGAAAGAAAAAGAAAAGAAAAGAAACCCCACACGTCCTTGCGCACTATGAGCCGCACTCAGTTATTTCTAAGTCCCCTCCATTTCTTCTACCACGTGACAGCAAAGCCGGCATTTTAAGGGCTTATGAGGATTAAGGAGGAGCTGAGATTAAACCTAAAACAAAAACCCTTATCCGCTAATCAAACCATCCGCTCCCACTGCAGCACAGGTTAAAGGCTTACACTCTGTTTCGTGCTTATAGGCTCCCAGCGTCAGCTGGCGAGACGTTGTTAACAGTTGCTGCATCATTGCCGTCGGGTCTTGAAATATCTTAAGGAATAAAAGGAGAAAAAAAGCCCAGTAAGTCTCAAGGTCTCCAACTTCAATGCTTTTAACACTCATTGCCCGCTCCAGAACTCAGTGTTTTTACAGACCCTCGCATCCTGAGGCCTTACCATTTCATCGTAGAACTCTGAAACCACTGTCTTTTTCCCCAACATGGCGTTGGTGTCGGACTGGAACAGCTTCAGTAAGTGATACAGAGTCACCTAGAACACACACAGGGTCACTCTATCCAGTGGCTCCACCATCGCCAGGACACTCCTCCATCAGTGAGTCAGTCCTTTCTTCCTGGATTTCTGAAACCTTGAGGCTGGCATCACACTAAGTAGCAGAAGGTAGGCCTTGAACTGCTGACCCTCCTGCCCCCACTTCTCAAGTGCTAAGAGTAAAATTGTGCGCCGTCAGTCTTGCCTGACACTGTCACTGCGTTAGCTGAATTAGGAGGTGGAATTAGTAAATACCTCAAAGTCTAGATCTTGCTTCAATTGCAACTTAGGCGGTAAACCACCCAAACTTCCTGTCCTTTGTTTCCTTTCCAGGGACACTTCTCTGTCCACATTTCAGTAGGGACATTTTACAGTTAGGTGAGGCTCTACTCAAGCACTTCCTGAGAGTAAATGTACCCCAAAACAACACAAACAAAGCTATGGGAATCTCAACAGTACTCTGTGAGGATTGAAGTTCACAAATTTACTTGGATAAAAAGGATCAGAAGGGGGCACGGTGGAGCATGCCTGTAATCCCAGCACACAGGAGGCAGAGGCAGGAGCGTTTCTGAGTTCTACATCAGCAGCCTGGGCTAGATAATTCAACGGTAAGGGGAAAAGTAGTTTTCTAAAAGAACAATCAATAGTAAATTCTCCAGTGGGAGCAAGATATTCCACTAGGGCATACCCAGCAGCACGGTGAACAGGAGGGAGGTAGCACACTGGCTCTTAAGAGCACCTTGTCTTTAACACTGTGCACTGAGGCCGCAGGAGGGGCTCTGTGCTACAGCGCATGTGCCCTTGCTCACCCAACAAGAGCTGGCAAAGCAGCGCAGCTCATGGTGAACATACACACCAATCTTGAGGCACAGAACTTCCCAAACGGTTAGCTACAACCGTTACAAGGAAACAGGATTCTCCCAGACAGTCACAGAATAGAAGCCCGCCTTCTGTGTAGAAGAAAATGAACAAACATTTGTGACTAAATCTAAACAGATGGACTCAGCTTACTGATGTCTGCCTTCTCTGGATAGGACTTAGCCCATGGAAAGGGTATTCTCCACGTCCAATGGGACGCCCCGAGAGCAGGGGCGGAGTTACAGCTTCTTACATAGTACAAGGCTCTGGGTTAATCACTACCTTGGATTGGGGGTGTAGAAAATGGAGAAGGCAAATCCCCAGAATATCACTAAAACAACAGCAGATGATCTTAAAAGAGAGCATGAGTTATGCCGGCCATATCTTTAATATCTCTGGAGCAGACAACAGATGCTGCAGTGAATCTACAACCCGAGTGCGGGCACAGAGAGGGCCCCCAGAGGTGGGAGCCACGCCTCCTAGGAGTACAGATGCTACAAGCTCAGGACTGGCAGGTCTCACCATCAAGAAGGCAGGCACAGTGGTACACACCTGCAATTTTGGGGGCTGAGGCAGGAGGATTGTATTGAGTTTGAAGCCAGACTGGGTTACACAGTGAATACTAGGATTACACAGTGAGAACCTGTATTAAAAAGAAGAGAAGAGAAAAGAGCCAGCAAGCAGGCGCAGGCAGGCAAGATGGCTCAGTGGGTAGAGGCACTTGCTCAGGTCAAGCCTAACGACCTGAGTTTGACTCCCAGGCCTGCATGGTAGGCTGTGAGACCAGGCGCCGAGGAGAAGCCTCAGAGATTCAGAACACTTGCTTGGGTTCAGGTCCCAGCACACGGTGGTCCACACCAATCATCACTCCAGGTCCAGAGGACCCAACATCCTCTTCTGACCTCTGCAATGCGTGTGGCGCACGCACACACATGCAGGCAAACATCGATACACACAAAATAAATAATTTCTCTTCAAAAGGGAGAGACCCAATTCCTAAAAGTTATTCTCTAAGTGTGCACTGGCACATGTAAATAAGGGTAAGAATTTGTTTTTGGAAAAAAAAATAGGGAAGCCCATGGGGTGGCCGGGGCTGCCGATCTTACTTTCTCCTTGGCAACAGAGGTGATGTCATGGCAGACAATTAACACGGCCTGATGGGGTCTACATCTATAAGGAAGGTGCCCTATACACTGGAGGGCCCACATCCCATTGGGCAGACTCTGACTCCTGAAGTAATTGGCTATAGGGAGTTAAGACTTTTCTGTATTGTTGTTTGTGCTGTTTTCTGTTACAGGGCCCTAACTCTGAGCTCCAGGCTGGCAAGGATTTGAAGGCACTGGGATTAACCAGTCTGAGACACTAGGGTTGTATTTGTTTACCTTCAGCCTGGCTAGGACACTAAGGCCCCAACCCCCACCCCATCAATAGCACTTTCAGATTACCTATTAGGGACCTGTCCGAGTGGTGTGTAGATATGAATGGTGGAGTGAGAGTAACACTGACAGATCCTAAACAACAAGGAAAGTCTTCACGTATGGCCAGACCGCTAACAAACACCAGCTCCCCAGGAAGTGTGACACTTGCACATTATTAAATGACCCATTTTCTTCTTGCAAAGGTTAATGTTACTCACAGGTCTTTCATTAGGGTCAATGAAAAATATTTTGATGATTATTTCAAATTCACCCCATCCTGTTTCAGTGATTTCATATGGAGGCTTAGTAACCACTAGAGAGAGGGAAGAAAAAGAAAACAATCGCAAATTACTAAGTTAGTTCCTGCTCCCCGGTCCTTTTATAATTACGTAGATGACGAACCAAAAGCTGTACCTCACCTCTTAAAGGATTGCCATAGCTTTCATGTAATTTAAACTGGATTTTCTTCACATAAGCTGACATATCCTAAAATAGAGAGAAGTCAGTTCTCCGGATACAGACGCAGCATCTGCGCACAATTTTATACAATACACTTTCCTTCCAAGTTTACAGAACATAATTAAAATAAAACATGAGTTATCTGACCCGTGAGGCCTCCTGGCTAACCAAGAAGCCAAGGAAGTATGACTAAGTTTGAGGGCAGCCTGGGCAACTTTGCCAGACTCTGTTTCAAAACAAAATGTTTTAAAAAGGCAGGGATATAGCTCGGGCTCAAGCTTGGTGTCTTTTACTCAAAATCAAACAAAACAAAATAGGCCAGTGTGGAGACACACCTTAAACCCCAGCACTCGGGAGGCAGAAGCAGGAAGATCTCCACTTGAGGTCAGCCAGTCTACCTCAGCCTGGGCCAAGTCCCTCCTATCACTGTTTTGCAAATCCTGGGTTTTGAGGGGACATGGCTGTTGCGACAGGTCTTACTATGTAGCCCAGGCTGGCCTGGAACACAGTGCTGGGCTTAAAGGCACGCGTCACCACCATCCGGCTCAAATTCTGCTTTTATATGCATCGATAAATAACATTCTCAGTTAATTATGACTTCCATCAGAAATAACAGCAAGATCTGGGGTATTTTTATAGAATTATACCAGGAAAAACATATCTGTAGTTAATTTTGAGAAAACTCTTTATGTATAACGTATAAGGGAGAGATGCACCCCACCTGGCCAGGGAGAGGTCCACGTCAGGTACATCCCTCTACTGCTCTCCATCTGACTGTTTGGGGACAGGGTCTCGCTGAACCCGGAGGTCACCAATCATTTGTGACTAGTTAACCAGGAAGCCCAGAGATCATCATGTCCCACCTCCAGCCCCCACACCAGCTTTTCTTCCAGGTGCTGGAGATCTGTCTCAGGTCCTCATGCTGACACTGCTGGTCCTCTTCTGCTTTAGCTACTTCACCAACTTCCTCCTCCTCCCACCCTTTACAAAAACTACCCCACGTGTGGTTCATATGTATGTACGCATGTGTGTGAGTATGTGTGTGCAGATGTGCGTACACATGCGTGAGTATGAGTATGTGTGTACAGATGTTCAAGGAGGCCAGAGGCACCCGGTCCCCGGGAGCTGCCTCCCGTGGGTGATGGGGACCAACTCAGGTCCTCTGCAAGAGCACCACCTGCTTCACCACAGAGCCATCTCTCCAGCCCCTCATCTTAATCTTAATCAGAAGACAGGTTTTTAAAGGAAGGGGCATTATAAATGTATTTATGTGTATGAGTACACTGTAGCTGTCTTCAGACACACCAGAAAAGGGCATCAGACCCCATCCCAGATGGTTGTGAGCCCCCATGTGGTTGCTGGGAATTGAACTCAGGACCCTTGGAAGAGCAGTCAGTGCTCTTAACCGCTGAGCCATCTCTCCAGCCCATCAGAAGACATTTTTGAAAAACTGCATTGATTACATGAAGATGAGTTTTCATTTTATTGTTTCAGATGGGGCTAGTGGTAGGACTCTAAAATAGGTCTACTTCATACTTGGAAAGTTAGTATACAATTCACAGTTTACTCTCAAGGAAACAAACTGTACTTCAAAACCTAGTTTGAAGAAAAGCAAGCGCCTACCTCATTTCTGTATGGCTTTACATACACTGTCCACTGGTGAGTGTGTCCGTCTTCTTCTCTCTTCTTTCCAAAATACCGGGCAACATTACCATAAACTATTGGCTTAACGATGGTAACCCCCTAAAAGAAAAGCAAGGTTAAAGTCAGTAAATATTTCACCACCACCCGAATAAACAGCATAAGCAACGGCGACTTGTTTCAGGGAGCCGCAGTCTAAGTACATACAGGTTTACTAAGAACAGAGATCTCCTCAAACCAATGTCACACTCATCAATGTTAGCACAATGCTGCCCATGTGAGGGGCTGAGGAGATGGTTCAGCGGCTGAAGCGCTCGCTGTCCTTGCAGAAGACTATAGTCTGGGCATATATAGACTACGTGCCCTGTGTAGCACACGTGGAGGTAGGGACCATCTGCAGGAGTAGATTCTCTTCCTTCCACCACGTATGTCCTGAGGCCCCAACAGAGGTCACCAGGCTTGGTGGCAAGTGCCTTTTACCTGCTGAGCTGGAAAGATGGCCCGAAATGTTCTAATTTAAATCAGCAAGTAAAAGCACACAAGAAAAAAAAAAACACACAAGTACTTGATTAAAGAAAAACAAAATGCCTTCACAAAATTAAAAGCTAGGCTACTGAGTGCAAGCTGCCATTTTGACTGGCTTTGCTTGCTGGTAAAGGCTTTTAAATTAGCCTACGGCAGTGTTTATCAAAACACAGGGCAAAACCCAAGGTCAGTTTATGAGAGAATTTCAAGGCAAGCGTTTTCCACCGGCATCATTATTGTGCACAGTACAGTTTGGGTATCAAGTATCCCCCAAGGTGTATTGCTGGTCCCTAGTTGGTGCCACTGAGAGGTGACCGGACTATGAAAGCACTAACCTCATCAATGGATTAGTACATGGATCAGCTCACAGCTGAATGGCCTAGGAGGAGGTGGGGACAGTGGGAACACACAGGCCACTTGCGTTGGGGCTCTCAAGGGCCTATCTTGTTCTTGCCCCATGGCCACCCCAGCTACCAAGGAGGAAACTCATTTGAGGACTTACAGGCCCAACCTTCTCAAGTTTTCCTAGACTAAAAACTACAAACGTCTAGATTTAGCATGTGCTTGTAGAGTTTCCCCATTAACCCTTTGCTCTGTAATCACTTCCTACCAGCCCGAAAACCTTACCTAAAAGCTTGGGCAAATGCACAGCTCTATGAAGCCTCTTGATACTAGCATGGGCTTTTACCTGGCATTTCTTCCTCCTATTGCATTACAGGGCTTTGGGATTTTCCGGTAAACGATTTCTCACCTTACATTTACTGTTAAGACAGCTATGGATGTACAGACACTATGATTAAGGTAATTAAAAATAATATGACGCCGGGCAGTGATGGCGCACGCCTTTAATCCCAGCACTTGGGAGCCAGTGGCAGCCGGATTTCTGAGTTCGAGGCCAGCCTGGTCTAGAGAGTGAGTTCCAGGACAGCCAGAACTACACAGAGAAACCTTGTCTCGAAAAAACAAAAAACAAAAACAAAAACAAAAAAAGCAAGAAAAAATTCCTTTCTGTGATAAGATCTATAAGTAGGAGCTAAAAGGATCGCGGGGATAGCATCAGGAACCAGTGCCTTAAAAAGTAACCAGCCATGTAGGAAGATGGAAGGGGACGCGCTGATACAGCACACTGGTTAAAGACCTCTGCAGGCTGGAGAGGCAGAGACTAACCCTAAAGACACCCATTCACATGGTGACAGCATTCAACCGACTCCTGCAAGCTGTCCTCTGACCTCCACCCCTATTAATATATATGTGTAAAATGCTAATATGAATGTTTGGAACTGAGTGTCACAACGTCCAGTATCAAGCTGGGACTCTATGATAACCTTCACTAAACACGAAAGAAGCTGAGCGCTCTTTGATGACTTTATTAGCACGGGGCTTCGGGAAGGACAAGGCGGGGCGAGCCTATCCAGCAGTTACCTCGTCTGGTAGCTGTCCAGGATGCCCTAGCCACCCCGGAACCTTTGTTTTTGGCGGGACGGGAGGCGGAGACGGGGACTCGGGGCCCAATGAGCGCCGAGCTTCCGCTCTGCGCGCCGCGGCTGCGCACTGACCTTCACTCTCCCGCCGGAGTCAGGTCCAAATTCCGCCATTCTCTTGAACATATTGTCCCAGGGAAAGAGCCGCGGCTGCCAGGGAAAGAGCTCAGGCCGGCGGGGTTTCCGCTCCCCTCACAGGCCGGCTCCTCCCGCACGAGCTCGGGCCGAGGGGTTCAGGCCGGAGGAGGGCGGGTCACCTGGGCTCGCGGAGCCGAACAGCAACCTCCGCCACACCGGCCGCGTCGGGGTCGGCCATTCAGCCCCGCGCTGGGAGAGGCGAGCGGAAGGGGGCGGGGGTACAGCGGCGCATGCGCAACGGTCTCAGGCAGACAACCGCGCACGCGCGAGTCTGCTGCCTTCCCGGGTGAGAGCCGGATGAACAGATGCGGAGAGACCCGACCGAACAGATAGAGACGGGAATAATTTTGGGAAGAGCTCCAGAAGTTAAGGGTAGGGAAGCACTCAGCACCAAAATGGTGAAAGTTTGTAACTTTAGAGTTGAGATAATACCGCACACTTCCAGATGATAGATTCTACAATCAAAGCTTCAGATTGGGCAGGCCAGATAACTGGGGTGGAGTTGGTAAAGAATTTGCTGCCAAGCCTGGTGATTCCCAAGGCCAAAATGATGGAACTAGAGAAATGACTGCTTTTCCTTCCCCCTGCCCATGGCTCAATCTGTTCTGTTGGCCATGTTCAGTCTGACTCTTCCAGATGCCTCTGGCTGTATTCTCATACCTACAGTAAAAACCTAAACCATACCTAGGAGGGGTCATGCCGTTATTGTCACTCACCATTCTTCTCTTCCACCCTCCTTCTCCAGTTGGAACCCTTCTCTCCAACAACCCTCCCCCCTTCTACTTTCATGTCCTTAGTTCATGACCTATCTGGTTTCATTTGGCATTTACTTGGTTTGGTTACCATGGATAAGGGATTCTTTACTGAAGCAAGAGAAACTTATCAGTAGCTACCTTACTAAAGAAAACAGCATCTCGCCGGGCGGTGGTGGCGCACACCTTTAATCCCAGCACTTGGGAGGCAGAGGCAGGCGGATTTCTGAGTTCGAGAGTTCGAGGCTAGCCTGGTCTATAGAGTGAGTTCCAGGACAGCCAGGGCTATACAGAGAAACCTTGTCTTGCAAAAGCCAAAAAACAAAACAAACAAAAAACCAGCATCTCTTTCCCAAACAGTCTTGAACTGTCAATAATCCCTCAGGGAAGGGTGAAGCCCATGGACCCCTCCCACCATCCATGTTGAAATGTTAATATGCCAATATCAGGTCTTCTGCAGATAACCGCAGCTGCAGTAAGTTCATGAGTGCAATGTCATGGCCAGAAGGTGTTGTTTTTGCTGCATGTCTCCCCACTCTCTGGCTCTTACATTCTTAATGCCCCAAAACATTCCGCAACCTTGGAAGGAGAACAACTGTCCCATATAGTGTTAAGCACACCACCATCTCCTATTCCCGGGCATTTTGGATAGTTTTGAGCTTTTGAGTTTCTGCATTAAACTTCCCTGATGAAGGCTAGCCACAGCACTAATCAATGAGACTAATCAGGAGATTGAGAAGTGAATTTGCACGTGTCTACACAAACACACACACACGCACACACACCCCGTATCTTTGGACTTCTGAGTATACCTTGTAGCAGTCATCTACAACGTGGGTCCTAGGGATCCGGTTCAAGTCATCGGGCTTGATAACAAGTGCCTTTAATTTTGCCAGCCCCTGTTTTTGATAATGTTGGCTGTTTCTATAGTCAACCCTGTATTTTGGGGTTGTCCTGGCAGTTCTTGAGTATGTCCTATCTCTGTTTCTTAGCTGTTATTTAAATGCCATTCCCCTTCCTTGATCACCTGATAGAAGCTTAGAGCTTCTAAGGGAAACATTCCCTCCAGGAGGGAGAAAGGAAGTTCCTGAGAATAAGTAAACAACTCACAGGTTCAAGAACCTAACAAGATGCAAGGCCCCTCCCCAAGGTTAAAGACGCAGTAAAGGATGACTGGAGGAAGAGAGGAGGCAGTAGTCCTGGACAGAGCCCACGGTCATCCTGTGGAATTGACTGAGGGAGACTCTCTGTCCTGCTAAGCTGCCTGACAGTCACACAGCAAGCTCAAGGTGTAGAATTCTGAGGCATCACCCACCTGGGCCTGGGCTTTTCACTGAGGCAGCTGTCTTTGAGGCAGCCCTGCTTTTTTTATGGACTTCTTGCCCATACTCTTGTGAGTAACCACCGTAGATTCACTGGTTTGCCAACGTGGACTCTGGTCTAATAGGTTCTTTTGGTCCTTCCTCCTTAGGAATGTTTCCTGTGGCTGGTCTCTGCTCTACAATTACAGACTTGAGACACGACCTAGACTTCTTCAAGCTGTTGTGCTAGAATTATGGGAGATTGAAGAATAAGAAAAGTGTGTTGAGCTGGGCAGTGGTGGCACACGCTTTAATCCCAGCACTTGAGTGGCAGAGGCAGGTGGATTTCTGAGTTAGAGTTCAAGGCTAGCCTGGTCTACAGAGTGAGTTCCAGGACAGCCAGGGCTATACAGAGAAACCTTGTCTTGCAAAAGGCAAAAAAAAAAAAAAAAAAAAAAAGAAAAAGAAAAAGAAAAGTGTGTTGGAATGAGAGTCTACCACGCTTTACTCATTATTCTAGGTGTTTGGAATGTGGAAATATTAGAGAAGAAATCTGCCAGTGTGCGGCACCTACCACACCGACCAGCAGGGAAGAAAGACTCGCACACCAGTTCCTTCCAGCAGC